TTAGCCATTAAATAAGGGGCGGGGGGAGCCTATAAACTTATCATAGGGTCTGAGATATAACTAAAAGCAGTTGTAAATGCTTTACGAATATTACATGCACTAGAAATGCTTCCTGAAGACAGATGTTACAATTTAATAACCTTAAGTGGGAAGGTTTAATAACTACTTTAGATCATTAGGATAATGTTTAGTGCCCTAGGATAATTATTAAACAATTCTCCAGTTTGCTCAATCATCCGATATGCCAGAGAAATCCATAGCTTAATTCAGTTTCACATTATCCACCAACTGCTCAATGAAACTACAAAACGGTAGAGACCAGTTGGGAAAAAAAGAAGAGCAAGGGTGAGAAAAGGACTAAGTCAGCTAGATGCCACTTTGAGAAAGAAAATCAGAGGCAGAGGGCCAGAGGTAAGGTGTAAGGAATAAGGTGCAAAGGATCTGAATCAGAGATGGTGATAAGAGCCTAGAGCTTCAGGATCCAGACACACTGTGTTAGGCCTGCATAGAGGCTTTGTTGTTGTCATTGATGTGTTTGTAAAATTGGTTGCTGATATTTTCTTAAGTGGGAGAAGCATTACAAAAAATTTCAGACTTCAGGCTTCTTTTGATAATTCAGAATATCTAGTAACGCTGGGCCTAATTCCTCCATGATAGCAGTGGGCCAAAGTTGTGTAAAAACTGCCCCATTTACTTTTTCTCAAAATTTTGATTATGAAAATCTTAAGGCTAGATGAAGAGTAGAAATACAAATAAATATCTCTTCACCTACTTCTAAATTCAGCAATTGTTAATGTTTTCCAATGTTTATTATAAAATTAAATACTTGTGTCTGTACATTTATACTTTTGCTGAATCATCTGAAAGTGGTTATATTGTGCAGACATGTCAGATGCTTTGTGACCCCATGGACTGTAGCCTGCCAGGCTCCTCTGTCCATGCGGATTCTCCAGGCAAGAATACTAGAGTCAGCTGCCATGCCCTCCTCCCAGGGATCTTCCCAACAGGCATCAAATCCAAGTCTCCTCTATTGAAGGTGGATTCTTTACCATCTGAGCCACCAGGGAAGCCCATGAATACTGGAGGGGGTAGCCTATGCCTTCTCCAGGGCATCTTCCCAACCCAGGGATAGAACTGGGGTCTCCTGTATTGCAGGCGGATTCTTTATGAGCTTAGCTACCAGGGTAACCCATGGTTATATTACTTCATCCTTAAATATGTAAACATGTATTTATAAAACAAGGATAGTTTCCTACATAACTGCAATATTATTATCACACTGAAGAAAAAAATCAATCATAACTCCCTAAGGTCATCTTTCTCTTTTTCATTTTTGTTCAGGCTATATTCAAATTTCCCCATCATTCCCAATGTTTCTTTCACATTCATTTTCTTTTCAAGCCAGAATCCAATTAAAACATACATATTGCACTTAGTTATGTCACACAAGTCACCTTTATTCTAGATCAGTCGCTCTCTCCCTAGTCCCCTTTTCTTCTATGACATTGTCTTAAAAGGGTCAGTTATCTTGTGGACTAGGATCCAGATTTAAAGGCTTGATTAATTTAGATTAAACACTTGGGGCAAAAATAATTCTGGGATGATAACACAGACTTCATATTGTATCACAGAAGGAAGTATATAATATCTGTTGTTCTACCTGGTAGCACAAAGTTTGACCACCAGGCCTAGGCAGAGAAATAATATCTTTAGCTTGTGGTATGCTCTCTCCAATTTTCCCCAGACCCATGACTTCTTGACTCATGACCCATATCTAGCCTAATTAATTCATTTTACCTTGCCTGGAAGAAAGGTCAACTTAGAATCTATAACGTGCTACAATTTGAACTGTGTGATAAGAGCACCGACACCTGTTATTGTTCCGTGACTCAGTCTTGTCCAACTCTCTGAGACTCCATGGACTGCAGCATGCCAGGCTTCACTGTCCTTCACCATCTCCCGGAGGCTGCTCAAACTCACATCCAGTCCATTGAGTTGATGATGCCATTCAACCATCTTGTCCTTTGTCATCCCCTTCTCCTGTCGCCTTCAATCTTTCCCAGCATCAGGGTCTTTTTCAATGAGTTGGCTCTTCACATCAGATGGACAAAGTGTTGGAGTTTCAGCTTCAACATCAGTCCTTCCAATGAATATTCAGGGTTGATTTCCTTTAGGATTGGCTGGTTTGATCTTGCAGTCCAAGGGACTCTCAAGAGTCTTCTCCAACACCACAGTTCAAAGGCACCAGTTTTTCGTGGCTCAGCCTTTTTTATTGTCTAGCTCTCATATCCATACATGACTACTGGAAAAACCATAGCTTTGACTAGACAGACCTTTGTTGGCAAAATAATGTCTCTGCTTTTTAATATGTGTCTAGATTGGTCATAGCTTTTCTTAGAAGGAACAAGCGTCTTTTAATTTCATGACTGCAGTCACCATCTCCAGTGAGTCTGGAGCCCAAGAAAATAAAGTCTGTCACTGTTTCCATTGTTTCCCCATCTATTTGCCATGAAGTGATGGGACTGATACTATAATCTTTGTTTCCTGAATGTTGAGTTGTAAGTCAGCTTCTTCACTCTCCTCTTTCACCTTCATTGAGAGGCTTTTTAGTACCTCTTCGATTTCTGCCATGAGGGTGTTGTCATCTGCATATATGAGGTTATTGATGTTTCTCCCTGCAGTCTTGATTCTGGCTTGTGTTTCATACAGCCAGGCATTCCGCATGATGTACTCTGCATATAAGTTAAATAAGCAGAGTGACAATATAGAGCCTTGACGTACTCCTTTCCCGATTTGCAACCAGTCCGTTGTTTCGTGTTTGGTTTTAATTGTTGCTTCTTGATCTGCATATGGGTTTCTCAGAAGGCAGGTCAGATGGTTTGGTATTCCCATCTCTTTAAGAATTTTCCATAGTTTGTTGTGATCCACACAGTCAAAGGCTTTAGCATAGTCAGTGAAGCAGATGTAGATGTTTTTCAGGAATTCTCTTTTTCTATTATCCAACAGATGTTGGCAATTTGATCTCTGGTTCCTCTGCCTTTTCTAAATCCAGCTTGAACATCTGGAAGTTCTCAGTTCACGTGCTGTTGAAGCCTAGCCTGAAGGACTTTGAGCATTAACTTGCTGGCATGTGAAATGAGTGCATTTTTGCAGTAGTTTGAACATTCTTTGGCATTGCCTTTCTTTGGGACTGAAATGAAAATTGACCTTTTCCAGTCCTGTGGCCACTGCTGAGTTTTCCAAATTTGCTGGCATATTGAGTGCAGCATTTTCACAGCATCGTCTTTCAGGACTGGAAATAGCTTAGCTGGAACTCCATCACCTCTACTAACTTTGTTGGTAGTGATGTTTTCTACGGCCCACCTGACTTCGCATTCCAGGCCGTCTGGCTCTAGGTGAGTGATCACACCATTGTGATTATCTGGGTCATGAAGACCTTTTTTGTATAGTTCTTCTGTGTATTCTTGCCACCTCTTCTTTATATCTTCTGCTTCTGTTAGGTCCATACTGTTTCTGTCCTTTATTGTGCCCATCTTTGCATGAAATGTTCCCTTGGTATCTTTAATTTTCTTGAAGAGATCTCTAGTCTTTCCCATTCTATTGTTTTCCTGTATTTCTTGGCATTGATCACTTAGGAAGGCTTTCTCATCTCTCCTGGCTATTCTCTGGGCTCTGCATTCAGCTGGATATATCTTTTCCTTTCTCCTTTTGCCTTTTGCTTCTCTTCTTTTCACAGCTATTTGTAAGGCCTCCTCAGACAACCATTTTGCCTTTCTGCATTTTTTTCCCTGGGGATGGTTTTCCTCGGAGGTGGTATCCTGTACAATGTTACAAACCTATGTCCATAGTTCTTCAGAAACTCTATCAGATCTAATCCCTTGAATCTATTTGTACTTCCACTGTGTAATCATAAGGGATTTGATTTAGGTCATACCTGAATGTCCCAGTGGTTTTCCCTACATGCTTCAATTTTAGTCTGAATTTTGCAATAAAGAGTTCATGATCTGAGCCATAGTCAGCTCCCAGTCTTGTTTTTGCTGACTGTATAGATCTTCTCTATCTTCAGCTGCAAAGAATATAATCAGTCTGATTTTGGTATTGACCATCTAGTGACATCCATGTGCAGAGTCATCTTTTGTGTTGTTGGAAGAGGGTGTTTGCTATGACCAGTGTGTCCTCTTGACAAAACTGTGCTAGTCTTTGCCCTGCTTCATTTTGTAGCCTGGGGCCAAACTTTCCTATTACTCCAGGTATTTCTTGACTTCCTGTTCTTGCATTCCAATCTCGTATGATGAAAAGGACATCTTTTTTTGGTGTTAGTTCTAGAAGGTCTTGTAGGTCTTCACAGAACTGTTCAGCTTCTTCAGCATTACTGGTCGGGGCATATTGAATGGTTTGCCTTGGAAACGAACCGAGATCATTCTGTTTTTGAGATTGCACCCAAGTACTGTATTTCAGATTCTTTTGTTGACTATGAGGGCTACTCCATTTCTTCTAAGGATTCTTGCCCATAGTAGTAGATATAATGGTCATCTGAATTAAAATCGCTCTTTCCTGTACATTTTAGTTCACTGATTCCTAAGATGTTGATGTTCACTCTTGCAATCTCTTGTTTGATCACTTCCAATTTACCTTGATTCATGGACCTAATATTGTAGGTTTCTATGCATTACTGTTCTTTACAGCACTGGACTTTGGTTTCACCACCAGACACACACACAACTGGGTGTTGCCTGTATCCCTGAACAATAGCCTGGTGATGCTCAACAAATATCCACTGGTTGTCAAAAATTCCTTGGGGAAACACACTGACTGAAACCACGCATCCTGGCCAGGTACCAGAGTAACCATTTGGTGAGTAATTTTGTCACAGGATGTCCTAGTAAGGAACATGAAAATAATAAGCCGCACCAATCAGAAGAGTCTGGGAAAGGTCCGAAGGAGATGTCATGTGTCTACCACCCCCCAAAATCCTCGCTGGCATACATCTTGGCTGAGCAATGCATGCGCTACCAGGAAGGACCCTGAGCCAGAATGACTGGCCGGTGAAAAGCTGGAAACTAAAACCATCACCATTAAACCCGAGACTGGGAGTTACATGGCAAAGCAGCCCTCCTGCTCTCCGCCTGGGCACCCCCTTCCCGGTGATCTCTCGCGCTTCGTCAGCATGTGTGCCTCCTCGGACAATTCATTTCCGAGTGTTGGACAATAGCCCTCTTTTGGGCCTGTTAGGGGTCCCCCTTCCTGCAACAAAATTAGAAACAAATAAATTAGAGAAACTTGAAAGGAAGTATGGTTTGGGGGAAAATTGGGCAACTCATACTTCTAAACTGTATGTGATTCAGAGAAGCCTTGTGCCCTTGAAATGTGTAGATGTGGTCTAGTCACTGAGGCACGTCCAACTGTTTTTGCGACCCCATGGAGTGCAGTCCACCAGGCTCCTCTGTCCATGGAATTTCCCAGGCAAGAATATAGGAGTGGGTTGCCATCTCGTTCGTCAGGGGATCGTTCTGACCTTGGAATCAAGCCCGCATTTCCTGCTTTGCAGGTAGGTTCTTTACCTCTGAGCCAGAAAGGAAACCCTTGGATAGCCTTTGGATATGCAGATATGTCGAAACATTACAAAGACTCCTGGCTCTGGGGAATGGTTCTTTATTTGAGATGGGTAGAAATGTATAGTCCCAGGGGAGAAATCTGAATAAGGAGAAAGAATGAATTAAAAATTCTGTGGAACTCAAGGGTTTGTGCTTCCTATTTATAAAGGTCTCTGATTCAACTTGACATGCATGTTATTTTTCGGGACACTTGTGATAAGGAGAACACAGAAGCAGAAGTGAGCAGAGGAAAATGTGAATTGTGATGCAAGGCCAACAAAACCTCCTTCACCCCCTACGGAAGCTCTGGAGTATGCACAGTCCATTAGTCTTATCTCCCAATTATTTACCTGGGCCTTTATACTCCTGCTTCACTGAATCTCATGGTAAGGATCAGTTCGGGAAAGGGATGGCCTTGAATGAGGCTGCTCTTTGCAATTAGTTGCGTAATTGTAACATTCAAACTATGAAATAATTTTTTCAACTCTGTTTTGGTATTCACTTGTTAGAAAGCTAAAACAAAACAAAACAAGGCATTTCTCAAATTTTTAAAGTCTCTAGTATCACTTGAATGTCCCATAGGACAGAAAATTGAGCCCATTTACATTGCTGTAAATTGCTTTGTCATTGTGAATAAACAGTACGTTACAAATGTCAGTGATGTACTGAAGTGCTAGCTGTACAAAGATAGACTGGTGTTGGTGTCAAAGGAAAATAAATGAAGGAAATGCTGAAGGAACTGTTATCAGTTTCCTATCGCTGCTTTAACAAATTACCACAAGTTGGTAGTTCAAAACAAGAAATACAGTCTCCCATAGTTCTGGATGGCATCACTGACTCAAAGGACATGAGTCTTAGCAAACTCCAGGAACTAGTGAAGGACAGGGAAGCCTGGAGTGCTGCAGTCGTTGGGGTTGCAACGAGTCAGACACGACTGAACAACAACATTTCTGGTGGCCAGAAGTCCAACATTATTATCACTGGACTGAAATTGGGGTTAGCAGAGCCAACTCTCTCCAGAAGATCTGGGAGAATTCACTCCTTGCTTCTTCCAGCTTCTGGTGGCTGCTGGCATTCCTTGGCTTGTGTCTGTATTACTCCAACCTGCATCCACGATAACACTATCTTCTACTCTTGTGTCTGTATAAATCCTCCCTATTACTGCTCTCTTCTACAGACATGTGAAACGGAATATTTCCTGCCACATCAGTAAACAAAGATGTCACAGCGATTTTGTGCCTTCAAAGTGAATTTTTGAGCCCAGAGGGAGCCCAAGAGGGAGAACAATGCTTGCAATCTAGCAGCTGCTGCTTCTCCCTACAGTAAGCAAGGAACTAAGGATGTGAAAAATCATGAAGCAGGATGCTGACCCCAGTTAACTGAAATGCATGTGAAAGGGATGATTTCAGTTAGCCCAGACTCTTGCATCTTCCTATACATAGATCCTTAGGTTGAGATATTTGGATTTCCTTAATTAACAATAATCTTTTGATGTTGAGACTACTTGCCCCTTGCTGCAAACTTCTATATAACGTGGCTCCTCCCGCCTGCCTCCTCGGAGCAGTTCTCTCAGGGTCACTTGAGATGCTGTCTCCTGGGCTTGTGGTTCTAAAAATTCCCGCCAAATAAAACATAGCTCTCAATTTCTATGTTGTGGCTATTTTTTAAATTGAAAGATACATGTGACTGTATTTAGGGTCCCCCCTGATAATTCAGGATAAACTCTCCATCTCAGAATCCTTGGTTAAATCATATGTGTTAATACTCCACACCTGCCATGTAAAGTAACATTCAAAGGTTCCAGGGAGGTCACTAATCTGCTTACTGTAGGATAGCTTGTAAGTCTTCACTTTACCTCATTAAGCCTAGGGACAATTTGCTTTCACATAGCCCCAAAGCAGGAATGTAAATTGTGTCTGGGTGAGGAAAATGAGGGAAAAGCTAGAATTCCACCCCACAGCACTCTGAGACGCACTGTAGGAAGGCCTCTTTGTGAGAACTGGACTTCTCTATTGCAAAACCCCAAGAGGGTCAGGTTGAAGAGCACGTGCTCAGGAAAAAGTGCCTTCCTCTACATTTGACTATTGAAAGATATTTTTAGAACAGATATACTCTGAATTTACTGGGAAAAAAATTTTTTTTTCAAATACCCTGACACCAGTTTCTAGCTTTTTTTAAAAAATCATACGTCAAGTTGTCTCAGTTCTCAGAAATGACCAGGATTAAAAATTAGGTGGAAAGGAAATAGGATTATCTATTTACAGTGTGGTCTAGAGAATGTTAATAGACTTTTCATTAAGGTTTCAAATTTCTCTTTGATGAAGTTTATACCATTCTCTTCTTTTGTTTTATGACCCCTAAAAGAGCTATTTTAAAAAGTATTTAAAAAAGCTATTTAAAAAAGAGCTATTCAATAATTAACTCAAAGATAACAGAACAAAGAGTCTCTTCGTTTCCATGGTTCATTTTTTGGCTTTGCTTGATGCTTTTACTGATAGAAGAGGAATGCAGGAGATTCCCTTTTGAGTCCAAGCTATTTATTGAGGGAACAGCACCTGTCACTCTGGCCTATACCTTCGTGTGTAGACAGCCTCTCTCTTGGCTTGACAGAAATTAGGTCAATGCCCATGTGTTTCAAGGCTGCTGAATTAAGATACAGCGTTCTACTTATTTTTAAAGGCTAAACATGCACAGGCATAAACCCTGTCCTTTGCTATCGTTACTCTGTTTTTTGCTATTCAGATTCATTCATTTAGAAAAAAACACATCAAAATATTACAAACTGTGGTCAAGTTTATTTTAAGTATTTACTGATGAGATTGAAATCATCTCCAGGTTATGTAACAGGTTCTTAGACATGGAACTGAATACATCTCCAGTTTCCTGGGCTGTTTATTCTTGGCTCAGTCACCTCTTTAACTGAATCATAACCAGAGTTGCTCTGAAGAGTCCAGTCCTCCATTTTGTTTCAGCTCCCACATCAGAACCTAATACTTATTCATGTTCTCCGAATGAGTTATTTAGGACATAACGCTTGCCCGCAGCCTTCCTCCTACTATTAAATGGGAGGCTTTGTTCTAGAGACAATGTTACTCAATTTACATCACAAACACATGTTTTCAGTGCTGTCTTAGGAACAGAGTGGATGCCAGCCCAAGGAGGAATTCGAATTTCCTTTACCCTCAAAACCTTCACTTCTAAGTAAGTTTCCTGGTGTCACTTTTTATTGATGTCATTTTTTCTAAATTTTATTTTTATTTAGAAGGTACTTTCCCAGAATTATTTTTTTTATGTAGACCATTTTTAAAGTCTTTATTGAATTTTTTCAATATTACTTCTGTTTTATGTTTTTTGGTTGTGAGGCATGTTGGATCTTAGCTCCCTGACTAGAGATTGAACCCTTACCCCTTGCATTGAAAGGTGAAGTCTTAACCACTGGACTGCCAGGGAAGTCCCCCCCACCCCCACCCAGATTCTTATAAAGCAGAGATAAAACTTAAAGTACCCGTTAAAGATATACTTAGCATTTCCATTTCATCTTTTCAAGGTGAAGATCATATCCTGTATTTTTACCTCATTCTTGATCCTAACTCTTTGAAAATCACTGATGTGGGAAGATTTTCTGTTGGATATTAGATGTCTGTAATTCTGCTTTTAAGAATTCAAGTAACAAGGAGGCGGAGACCAACTAAATGATAAATGACCTGGTCTAATCTCTGAGCCTCAAAGGTACTGGACCAGTCCAGACCAAGAATTTGTTTTAAGATTTTTCTGAACAGATTTTGTTAATCTTCTAGAAACTCTATATTAGTTTTTTTCTTTTCTTTTGTAAGTAGTAAACTTGTAGTCTTTGTTCAATGTTTATCTTCTCAATTTGTAACTATTGTTAACAATGATTAAGATTATTAGGTGAATATATTAATAGTGCTTCCCAAATTATCTAAACTACTAAAATAATAGAGTGGAAAAAAAAAGGTGTGAGTATACATAGCATTCAAAACTCAGAACAAAAGTGTCTTTGTCCAATATTGGACCACAAGTCAGAATGTGTGGGCTTCAGGGAAGGGAAACAACATTGGTGATAGTTTTATAGACAGTTTTATAGACAAGTTTTACATATATTGTCCTATTCAATCCAAGTGTGGTTGTTGCTAGCTGTGTTATGTTGGGCATGTTACTTAGCAATTGTATGCCTCAGTTTCCCTGTTTGTAAAAACAAAGCCAAGAAACCAAAAAACCCATAGTTATTCTGAGGATTAGAGATTACAAGTACTTTGTTAAGACTAGTGTCTGAAAGAGAGTTAAGTAGTATTGAATGTGTGCTATTAACATCCTCCCGGATGAGGAAACAGAGGCTCTGGGAAGTTAGAGGTTAAATAACTTAGAAGAGGATAGATTTGAAGCTCCCATACTGTTCTCTGCATCAAGCAATTTCTCATTTTAGTCTTAACGCTATGTTAGGTTGGGGCTTCCCAGGTGGCGCAGTGGTAAAGAATCTGTCTGCCAGTGCAGGAAACACAAGAGACATGGGTTCATTCCCTGGGTTGGGAAGATTCCCTGAAGAAGGAAATGGCAACCCACTCCAGTATTCTTGCCTGGAAAATCACATGGACATAGGAATCTGGCATTCCATGGGGTCACAAAGAGTCAGATTTGATGGAGGGCATATGTACTACATGCATTAATGTTAGACTAACTCTGGCATCACTGACTCAATGGACATGTGTTTGAGCAAACTCTGGGAGATGATGAAGGACAGGGAAGCCTGACGTGCTGCAGTCCATGGGTTC